AGATCAAAAGAGTTGACGCAAAACATGAACAATAAACAGGTAGTCATAAAAGAACAGTAAACCAACACGGAACTGGTGTTACCAGTAGCCACACGCTGAGAAATATACTGAAGATGGGATCCGAGCGCTTATCGACGTAACCGAAGTTTAATAAGGATAATCTGTCGATTAACTAACTTGTACCCCAGTATAGCAAAGCGGTCCTACGGGAGTTGGCTGTACATAATTATCGCGTAAGCGGGTATAAAACACTAACCTAGGTACCACTACATTGGTCCATGGAAGATGGTTTGGAAAAGAGAGGGGGGTTGGCGTGGTAGTGGGGTGAAAGTGGCAAGCGGCAGACAGGAGCAACAGAAGAGGAGGAACATAAAGGAGGAAGCAAACAAGGAGGAGAAGGAGGATGATATATTAGGAGGATGTTGGAAAGAAGAAAGGTGGTGTAAAAGTGGACGGATGAGTAATCTCGTCAGATAGATTGCATAATTTCGTTTTTTTTTTTAAACTCAGAATTGTCTTTATAAGTGTAATTTCTTTTATTAAATACATGTGTAGATAAAAATTGAATGTACGTGTACAAGAGAAAGCGAGATAGAGAGAGGAGAGAGATGGAATAAGTAAGTGAGGCAGAGAGAGAGAGAGAGAGAGAGAGAGAGAGAGAGAGAGAGAGAGAGAGAGAGAGAGAGAGAGAGAAAACAAAATATATGGCATAAAATCAACTTTCTCTATGATTGAAATGCATCGTAATGAGCTAGCCTTTTGCCCTGACTTGTTTGCGATTACGAGATAAGGTTAAGAAGTTTGTCTTTTTGTGTTGTCGCTGAGGCGATGCTGTCAAAGTCGTCATTTTGAATTGTGTATGGGAATGGTCAATTAAAGACAACATATATTAAACTAAGGGGTGATCTTTTATCATGTTATGTCGTTATGTTATTACCTTCTTCTTCTTCTTCTTCTTCAGCATTTTGAGCCCTAGAGGTTCATTGTTGCAGATTTCACTGGAATCAATACATCTCTCTGGTTGGCCTTCTCTTTCCAGTTGGTGACACCAGATGTTTGCAGGTCTGTCTGGATATTATCTCTACAAAGTCTTCTTGATCTGCCTCGTGGTCTACGACCATTCATCTCCCTCGTGTATAGTTTTTACTTCTCTGTCAACTGACATTCTTTTAATATGCTCCAACCATTACAGTCCATTAGCTCTCATGATGCTTGTGATCAATGGTGATTAAAACAGATTATGAATTATATCAATTTCGTTGTTGCTTCTTACTCTCCATTCCCCGCTGTTTGCATCTTTGATGGGATGTTATTATCATTAACGTTTCTAAATCCTGGGCATTGCCGTGGGTGCTCAGTCCTTTGTAGTAATAGCTACTTCTGCCGAACATTTCTATACTATAGTGTGTTTCAAAACTCGTGTGTTCACACTTTAAGAAATATTTAGAAAACTCATGTGGGGATCAATTAGTTTTTTTTTTTTTTTTTTTTTTGCATGTTGATTTGAATTCCCATGTACTTATGATGTTACAATTCACAATTACACAGGTGCTGCTGCTTTTTAAAGCAGAAAATTTCTTACAATCATTTCTGTACTCCTAGGAAATAGAATATGCAGTAATTGGCACAGATTGGAGACTGTTCAGAAATGAACTAACATTTGCAGCGATGCGTGTAGATTATTTTGACGGCCTAGTCAACATACAATAAAAAAAATCCGTATTTCACAAGAGACTAATGCTGTATATGACCACAGGAAGTGTGAAACGCCTAAGAAACGAGTGCAGTTTGGTGTTTTGAAAATGTCCCCGTACTCTTTTAACTGTAAGTATTCTGACTGTTTGCTTTGGGTTGGCTTCTGTTTAATTTTCTTTCACATACTGCAGTTAGGGAAAAATGAGAAATAGATGTTTGTTTATTATATTTTTTTTTTCGACAAGGGCATGATTATTTACATGTTGCATGGAGAATTTCAACAGCTCACACCGAACGGTTACTGGGTTACATATTTTGAAAGTTAAGCACGACTTATGGGACGTACTGTTGGTTGGCTATGTCTCCCATCTTGACCTCGAGGGCAGCTTATAAGTAGCATACTAGGCTTTAGTTGCATGTCATCTAGTGTCATGATCAAATAATTTTGAACGGAACCCACGTTGAAGCGACAATTAAGGACATGGAAGGTGAACATGAGATCCTTGATGGGTGGGTGGGTGGGTGGGTGGGTGTGTCTGTGTGTGTGTGCGCGCGCACGTGTGTTTTTCTTTCGTGTTATCATTCGAAGTGGTACGATAGTCTCACCGCTGGAGATCCTGCGGCCGCGATGTGTAGTGTTTCTATAAGCATCAGTGCTGTCATTGTTGCAAACATTCACCGCGGTTCACGTTGCAGGTTTTAAAGATTAAAGTTTGAAGTTTGAACAACGGATAAACATAATGGCACACGAGAAGTAACCCATAAGTACTCCGGTCTTCTTCTAACTCAAGTCTGAGTCTGAAGAAGATCAGCACAGTGCACAGGCTCTGTAGCACCGGCGCGGATCCTAAAATACTTTGGGTAGATTTTTAACTCTAAATTTTTGCCGGGCAGCACTGTTAGGCTACTCTTTTCGATTTCAAACTGCCAATGGATTTTTTACGTGCGCAACAATGCACTACCCAGAGTCCAGAGGAAATACTAGAAGTCCAAGACCACGTGAAAAATCCCAGCCCTTACCGGGGATTGAGCCCGGAACCTCTAGCACTCGAAGCGGACTTCATGCCTCACGACCACGCAGCCCCCTGATGTAGGTTTTAAAAGACTGCCACTCATCTTCTGTGTTTTGTGTGTGTGTGTGTGTGTGTGTGTGTGTGTGTGTGTGTGTGTGTGTGTGTGTGCTTTTGTAAGGGTGTTAAAGGCGATTCTAACTGTTCTTTTTCCTCCGCAACCTCTTTACCTTTTAATTTCACAATATTTATTACCTATGCTTGCTGAGTTCTTCTCTTCTTCTTCGCGGTCACCAGCTGTAAACTCTGGAGGAAAGTTCTGGTTGTACGTCCACTTCTGGACAGCAGCCCTGTTCCAAAACCTGAGTGTTGCGTGTGCATCCGTTTTACAGATCTGACTCATTTGTGTGCAGACTGCTGGTTCCTTGCCTCTCAGGCAGATGCACTCCGACTTCGATGGAAGCTCCCAATTAGTAGACTCTTACGACATGCTTTTGGGTAGGCAGTGGGTCTATTCTTGTTTTCCCTATAATAGGGCCCTGGAACCCAGACGGGGAGCTTGCTGAGTTGATTCTAGCGAGTGTTGACGCTGGTTTATGAAGCAAAAGTACCACTGGTCTATGGTCGGAATCTATTAGTGCATTTGGGATGGCCTTAGATTAATATATTTTCCATCACTCCCTCCTTCTTTTGAATATATAATCAATATGTGATGCCTGATTTAGGTTGTTCCATCTGTACATTGATAATATCTGACTTTGTCCATGTTGATAAAGGTTGTTACTGATAATCAAGTCCTGATCTGCACATAGATTGAACAGTTGTTCACCGTTACATTTACATTTAGTTGTTGTATCGCTGAAAGGTCCCAGGTATCTCCTCCATGGCATCCTGTGCTCTGCAATTCTTCCATTAAAATCCCCCAGTATGTACAAGCTGCATACAGTAATGATAATTAGATATAAGCCCTGTGTCTTAAAACGAGTGGTTTAGTCACAACATATTTTGTACTGCCAGGTTTTTTTTAGGCGAAACGTCCTACTAGAGCCTAATTGTACGTATCATTTTTAAGCCTTACTGTAATGGTATTTTAAATTTAATTCACGGCAAACAAAGGAAATCTGGAAGTTCCCGGGAAAGCCCAGTATTCCACGGGTGTCATGAGATAAATGAATACTGAAGCTATAATCTGGTGGGACAATAGAAAGACAACGCCTGCATGCCCCTCCACGAAAATGAAACTGATCTTTTGTCAGCCCAGACCACCACACAGACACCGACTAACCCTAACCCTATCCCCAACCCATAACACCCCTACAATATTGGACTTTCCCGGATACTCCAGGATTTTCTTTCTTTGGAGTGAGTTAAAATCTAAGTACCACTGTAATAGACACGTTGTAGTGAATACGGGTACCTTTTTTTCAGACATTTTTTTTTGTGCGTACCCGCACCTTTTTTACTGGCATAAAAGTTCTGATTTTTACGCGTACAGGTGAATAGACACTTCAGCTGCAAGGAACAATGCTCTAAATACTATGAGAGTTACCTGTTTACGTGGATGTGGGTACATCAGTTCTGTGGGTGGGTGGGTAGTGTGTGTGTGTGTGTGTGTGTGTGTGTGTGTGTGTGTGTGTGTGTGTGTGTGTGTGTGTGTGTGTGTGTGTACAAACACCTGGGACCCACCTTCACGATAACGTTTCGTTGCTATGGATTGGCAACAACCTAGGTTCTAGTCGATACTAAACATTACTACTGTCGATCATCAATCTCTTCGTGTTATAACTCCCACTTGTACAGCTGTATATATCTTGCTTGTCTACCTTCAAAGATGTCTCCCCAGCAGGGTTTTTAATTATCAGTGAGATTTCTGCTTTATTGAAGGCTAGTGTATTAATTATCTTAAGTTGCGCAAGAGCTGGTTTTGCCAGAAGGAATTTTTGAGAAATTAATTTAGCAAAGTGTAGTTTCTGTGAACGCGTTTATGTGTGTGCCTGTGTGTGTATGTGCGCGCACGCGCGACCTCTAAATACACATGCAATGCGTTTTTAAGGTGAATTCTAGGAACTTTTCACAAAGACGTCGAGAAGACGCAGCCGGGCATCACGCAGGAAAAAAGCAGGAGGCAGAGAGACATTGAGAGGTGCCGAGAAGACAAAGTCTTGAGCCACGTTACCATGCCACAGGCTTACGGAGGTTTCTCGCAATGCCGTTGTTTGGAGAGACTAACGTTTGTTTAACGATAGAACAGTATGGACTGGAAAGACAGAAAGAGGTTTGCAACACTGAACTTACCTAAACCAGGCACGACTATGTTGAAAATACAGAAGAGGATGGCCACAGGTAGAGGCATGCAGGGGATGGCGTTGTACAGGGCTCCATGCTTCTCAGTAATCTCCAGGATCTCCTCGTCTTCATCGTGCACAGATCTGCGACCACGACCGGGACTCACGGACAACCTGTCTGATCTGCTGGACACAGTTGCGTTTGCAGTTGTTACTGTCATTGTGGTCAGCTTTCCTTCAGCGATTCACAAATTGTCAGAATATTCCGATCCGTTATGTATCACAACTGTAGTTACCTTGGTCAGCTTCTCTGATGGCATAAATCCGTGAAATACTCTTCCTTTGGTGAACGAAATGTTTGTTGAGATGTATATTTTATAATATATGCATAAACTACACTACTGTTATCTATACTCTGCGGAAAATGTAACTGTCGTAAATATTATATTTAGGGCATGTAGTTTTCTTTCCTGCAGGTTAAGAAAATGCATTCATTGGGAGCGATAGACAAAGTAGACACACAAAAAACTTGTTCCGTGACATGTGTATTTATTTTGTCTAGAGTCATATTTTATAGACAAACCGGTACTCGACGGGTTAAGTGGTCAAAACACGTCAGCCACTTTACTTACCAGGCCATATCTTGGTACCGATTTTAGCCTTAGTCGATCATGGAGCATACAATAATTATAAGAATATGCGCTAATAAATAAAGTAGTGCATCCATTTTGGAAAACAACAGTCTGCATACAAAAAAGTTTGTTCGGAATATGCGCTAATAAATAAAGTAGTGCATCATTTTGGAAAACAACAGTCTGCATACAAAAAAGCTTGTTCGGTAAAATGGATGTGCACGGAAACAAGTACAGAAATACGACAAAGTCCAAAAGTGAACGAACAACCAGAAAGTTCTGTTTAGAGTTTAGAGCCAGTGCACTAGAAAAAAACGAAGTATCCTTTAAATGACATAGTAGAACCAACCCCGGCGTTTTCTGACTGATCTGCGGTTTTACTAGGTAGCAGTTTGCCACTGATGAGTGCAAACGGTACATGAATGATAAAGGTACTGAGGTGGGCTCGAAGGAACAAAATGTCATAGACCGTGTGGTGTCAAGGGGGCACATCAGGAAGGGATTAAGAATAAAGGACGAAATGATTGCAGAAAGGATAGGGGCTGACAGTCAGAGAAAAAACAGATTATACACAAATGTTGACAACATCGGTCCTTAAATCTCATGCTATAACTGTGGAAGACTTTTCTTAACGCGGGCGGGTCTTGCTGTCACACTCAAGGTTAGTTGCGTATCCTTTACATGACGTTGCAGAACCAACCCCAGCAGCCCCTGGCTGTTGTGTGGGTTCTCTAGGCAAATTTACGTCCAGTAGTTTGACATTGCTCGCTGAACGGTCGGCCCCCTGGTACCACTGTCGAAACCAACGCAAGCCGCATGGCCCCCAGCTGGGATCGAACCCAGCGCCCTGGCATTACGAAGCGTTCGCATCGACTTAGCCACAGAGCCGACCTGTCACCATTGCTAAAAGCTGTGAGAACCATGCCTCCATCTTTCAGTATTACTGGCGTCAACTCCTCCCTCTACCCGCGTATACTGACCATGACCTACACGCTCTGGCGATATATAGGTCAGGACCTATCCACTTTTTCCTCTCGAAGTCTTCACCAAGGACCCAGATCAGTATCATTTATTTATTTATTTATAGTTCGTTCAACAACTCATAAACTTAACTGAAAAAAAAATATTTTTATCACGTCATGGATATTCTAGGGCTGTGTGCAAAAAATCGTTGCGATCTAACAGGCAGTTTTGGAGGAAATGGCTTGCAAATGTCTCTATGAGTTGTTGAACGAGCTATAGTACATAATAGTCAAATGTAGTCCTTTCATAGTTGGTGTGTATTTTTTTTTTTGTGTGTGTGTGTACTGTGTTGTCTTTGTTTGTTGATAAAGGCTAATCGCTACAAAGTTTGGTAATTGTAATTGATTTTGTAAAGCTGACATAAACTATTTGGTTTTTTTCTTACCTCCTTTTTTATCTCTTTCTGATAATTTCCTGTCCTTTTTAAAACTGACTCCTCGTAGCGCAGTACAACACTATCATCAGGAATGTCGGAAAGGTGAAAGTCAGTTTGCCATTAGTAGTGACGCTTCGTGGCTTTGCGGTCATCGAATGCCGCTTTCAATTTCATTATCCTCCATTTCTACAATTCTTTCCCAACATGCCAAGTTATTAAACAAAAATCAAATCTCTTTCGTGTTTTTCAAAAAATGGTACGAGAGTCACACCGTAGAAGAGATTGGGTCTCACTGTGTAAAATTCCCAAAGACAACAGTGGTACATTGTGGCCAACCTTTTTTGTGGAGACGGCGCAAAAAATATAATATAGTTTAGCATTGCCCCTAACGAAACGGCGCGCCATTCCCCTTTGGAAATTAACTTCATGCGCTGTGCCGCCAAATCGTCAGCAGTTGAATCAACCAAAGTATTTTAGAATTATGAAGCGCATTCCTAACACCTATGCCACAGACGGCAATAGGACAGATTGTTATACATATTGCGTTCTAAGTTAAGCTGTATTCGCCAAGTAACATACGTTTCCAGTCAAAGGTACATTCAGTTCTAAGTGTAGCCGTACTGGCAGGGTAGCATAGTTACATATTTTGTTCTAGATTTGGCAGTAGTCACTGAGTAGAAAACGTTGTTATTCAGTTGCGTATTCAGATCTAAGTTTATTTAAGGGGCCGCGTTAGCGCAGTCAATATGAAACTCGCTTTCAAATCCAGCTGCAACATAACTGCAGTCTACGGCCGTTGTTCAAAACCGGACGGTTCCCGAGGCTCATCCAGCCTCTACGAAATGGGTACCAGAGTTAATAGTTAATACTCTGGGGTAAATGGAGGAACATCGCTGTAGCTACGGAGTTGCCTGCGGACGGCGACACAAACGGAGAGTTTCTTATCAGCTGTCCTTACAGAGAACTTATGGTTTATAACCGTGTGAAATGACGCTGGTTCACATATCCCGACTTTACCTTTACCTTTATCTACGTTTATATGTACTCACCTGGTAGCGTGAGCTTTCAATAACAATTACATATTTTGTTCTAAGATTAGCAGTACTTACCGGACTTACCGCCAACGTAAGTAACCAAAAAGTAGCTAGCTGTAAGTACAACGATGCAATATGAGACTGTAAATGCCGATGATAATCCTTAATTAACGAGTATATGGGCGGGTAAATATCAGCGCACATGATGTTTACCTGTCAGTCGCAGCAGGGGCGCAGAGACTAAGAAAACATTGCAGGAGGGAGGGGGGGCGCCTCAGCTGCCTTTCCACAGCGAGGCACACAAACGCTCTGGAATTGACAGGTTCCACTCCTGGTACAGTAACTAGAGCTTTAGATTGTTATGCTGTATAGTGTGTCCTTTTATCTTTCTACTTCTTGCTATGTAAAGTCATCATCATCATCATGTAGCAGGTCTTTTGCAGAAGGTCGCTCTCATTACATTCTGCCTGTAAGAAACTCGGTCTCTTGCCAGCTCTCCCGCCTCATGTACTTTCATACTCAAGGAGCCACTTATATCCTGTACCCATCTTCGTGTCGGTCGGCCCGTGCCCCTCCTTCCCGGTACCATGCCTTCTGCTATAATGTTTTCCAATCCGTCGTGGCGCTTGAAATGACCAAAATATTTCAGCTTTCGAGCTGTATAAAGTAGGGGACTCTTTTCCCCACCTTTTAGGCATATAGGACATATATGGCAGGACCTATATTTTTATAGATCAATCGGCACAAGATAGGTGATGTGGTCAGCATCACGCCGGTCGCCTTTACTTCCCGGGACTGCACCCGGTACCCACTAAAGGCTAGGTCGACCTGGGAGCCAAGGTCATTTTTGAAAATAGTCCGGCTCCGCCAGGGAGCTAATCAACGACCTTCCGAACCGCGGCGAGCGTCTAGCCGCTCCGCCACAGCGACTCCCGACAAATGCAGTATCTGTTTGTTTATTGTATGTAATGTGTCTACACCCTCATTGGTTCCCCCTCTTGTTTATATAATTGTCTTATCTCAACCAGCTTTAGCCTTGTTTAAGTGAGCAATCATAAAACTAATTTTTATACAATAAATATTTTTTATATATAGCGTCTTCCGTAAGTCCCTACACGGTGACTGAATATTTCATACTACACAACTCTCATCCTCTCATGAACTCTCATGACCTCTCATGATGCAGTAGGCAATTATTCAAAAACTTTGACTGTGGAGGAGACTAATGTGAGGTAAACGACCTTTTTTCCACGGCTGTGGGTGCATTGGGCAATTAGGGCTAGATATGACACTCGGTGGGGGATGTAGACAACATCACACGGGCCGCCTCTACTCCCTTGACCTCTGCCTGGTAAGGGTGCTGTGTGGTCTAAAGGAAGTGTCCGCCTCGAGTGCTGGAGGTTCCGGGTTCAAGCCGCGGTGAAGGCTGTGATGTTTTTACGTAAACTTCTAGTAATTGCCCCTGGTCTCTGGGTAGTAAGATCGGACGCCCGCGTGTGTTCTTACGCATGTAAAAAAAATCCCCTGGCAGTTGGCTATCGAAAAGAGTAGCCTAACAGCGCTGCCCAGGCAAAATTTGGAGTTTAAAATCTACCCAAAGTATTTGAGGATCCTCGCCGGTGCAACGCAGTTCGTGCACTGTGTGAGATACTTCAGATGCAGGCTTGAGTTAGAAGTAGAACTAAGCACTCGTAGGTTACACCCGTGTGACATGATGTTGATCCGTCGAATAAACATAAACATGCCTGATAACCATTTAAGGTTGGGTCGACCTGGGAGCCAAGGTCACTTGGAAAAGTCCGGATCTGTCAGCATCTGAACACACGATGGTCGGTTTCGCGGATACCCGTCTAGCTGCTACATCATGGTGGCTGGAGGGACTCAAGTAACACCCTATAGAAAAAGTAACACCTGGGAATAAAAGCTGGAAAAAATAGCTCGAAAAAAAAAAGCTAAGCAGAAAACGTCCACACAAAGCTGGAACCATGAAGTCTCTTAGAATTATTGGAGGGAAGAAGAGGTGTACAAGGAGTCCGAGTACCGGCTTTCGGCGCTCATGGATGCCAGCCTGGGTTAAGTATTTGTCAAGTGGTCATGCAGGCTAACAGATAATTTTCTGAAGTAGGCAGGGCTGGAACTGCTACCTCGAGTTTAGA